CCCCCGGGGCCCCCGGGGTCTGCCGTGGCCCCCTCACTGTCTGCGCACCCTCTCCAGCGCCCAGGAGCTGCGGGCCTGGTCCTTGGGCCGTCCTGAGGCCTGCATCTCACCCCTGCCCCCCTTGCCCTACCCCCACGCCCCCTGCCCGCTGAGCCCGCTCTTGCCCAGGGCAGTGAGAGGAGGATGAAGGAGGGGAGGCAGACGGGAGCTTTCCAGGGTAGCAGGGTTCTGGGCAGCTTGTTGCTCCCAGCACTCCCGGGAGGCCCCGCACGCCAGCGGGGCTCTTCTGCTGGTGGCCTTAGGGGCCATTAGAGACAGAAGCATTGAGAAACGCTCTCTGCCTGCTCCCTTCAGGTGAGCAGGAAGTTGGGGGACTTGGCCTGTGAAGGTTTATCTCACACGTGCGTGTGCACGTGCGTGCACGTGCGTTCTTAGAGCTCCGCCTCTGCGTGTTCTTGCCTCTCCGACTCATTCTCCCGCCTGCCTGGATTTTCGCATCCTCCTCGTGCCCCCAGAACATTGTTCTCTGTGTCCACGGCTTTGCCTGTCCACCCAGAGCTGTCGGATTCCGGAGTCGTAGGACCCTTTCCTCTGCCTGCAGAGGGGGCTGATCTGAATGAAACCACATGGGCAGAGGGTCTTGCCTCCCTGCTAATAAGCCGTAGCCTTTCAGGAGAGGATTCCCCCCTCCCCCCCCCCACCACCCGTCACTGGTTTCCCCTTCAGCCTAGAGCTGGCCAGGCCTGGGAGACCTGGGGCTTGAGTTGTAGAAGGAAAGACGGACGGTGATGGCGGTGAGCAGAGCTGTGCGTGGTGAGGTGCGCTAGGCCGCGTGGCCGGCAGGGACGGGCCTGAAGGACGAGAGGGCCAGACGTGTCCCGGGGGAGAAATCTCCAGACTGAGGGGTCAGCAAAGCAGAGGCGTGAGGTGAGGGCAGGCTCAGCATCTTGGCACTTCGGGAATCCGTCCCCAGGGAGCCGAAGGGCCGGGTGGGCCCCCGGAACCTGCGTTCCTAACCAGCCCCACCCAGGTAACAAGCTGCTGGCGGGGGAGGGGGGCGGAAATGCGTTCCTGTGGACGGAATTGGCAGCATCCGCTGACAGGTTAGAGGGAGGGGTCCTTGCTCAGACTCCGTACCCATCCCCTCTGTATCCCCCAGCTTGCGTCCACCTGCACGCCCCGCTTCTGCCCCCGCCCATTCCCTAGCCCAGCCTTTCCCCGGGCAGGACTCTCAGTGCCCACCAGGACCTCCCGCCCCCTCCTGCAGACGCCTGCTGAGTGCACGCTCGGGCTGCCGGGCTGGGCCCGGGGCTGTAGAGTTTGGCTGCCGCCTGGTTATTGGCTGGCCTGTGCCCATCCTCCCTGTGGGGCTTGGACAAGTGACTTTGCACCTCTGCCCCCGTTTTCTTTCCAGGAAACAGTGGCCTGGACTTGATCTGAGAGGCTTCCAAGCTCTATATGACTTACTTTCTCCACCGCTTCTCAGCACCACTGAGGCTCTCCACTCCCTTCATGTACATTAAAGAAGAAAGCGTTGGTTTCATCTCTGCCATCCTCAGATTCTGGGTTCTTATTGGGAATATTCCAGAACTTGCAGAGACCACATCGCCTTGGTACTGCCCTGGTCCCCACTCGCAAGCCTGCAGAACTCTGAGCCGGTCATGGAGGAGGGGCAGGAAGACGGTGACGGGTAGCGAGGGTCTGGAGCTGTGTGTCCCGGCGTCCTCTTGGCACCCTCCCGAGCCAGCCCAGGGGCATTGCAAGGCTGGGCTCTTGAGCTGCCTACGCGGAGCAGCCCCGGCCTTGTCCCCGAGTTGGGCATTGGCGCGAGCTCCGGGTAGACGCCAGGAGCGCCATCCGCAGGATGTGTGCAGACCCTCTGCTGCCCAGCCAGGCCTGGTCATCCCCCCGTGCTTTCTCCATCTGGTCCTTGAGGCCTGTGTACAGGAGGGTCGGTACGTATCACCCCAAACGCTTCGTCTGTCAGGGAGTGTGGGGCTGTCAGGGCCAGCCTGTCAGTCACAGACTGGAGCTCTGAAGCTGGGGCTGGCAGGGTCGGAGCAGGGTCACGGCCGCTGCCTTTGCTGCCAGTCGCGGCCTCCGCTCTCCCGCACCCCGCTGGGCACTGCAGGCTGGGCCTGGGGTTCGAGGGCAGCTTCCATCACTGCCCCCTCCCCCGCGTCCTCAGTCCATTTCTCCCTGCGCGATGCTGTGACCACGCTCTTGGGGTTGCGCTGATCACGTGACAAGCAAGTGTGCCGGGACAGACGGGGCTGTGGTGTCCCCAGGGAGAAGCACCCAGGGGAGCCCCGTCCTGTCTGTACCTGGAGGCGTCTGCGCAGCTCCTCAGCTCAGGCTGGGTGCCTGTTTGTTCAGGGATTAGTCCCCTCGCTTGTTCAAGTGGAAACGAAGGGCCCTTCACCACAAGTGGAATCTGTCATTAAAAAGTCGTTATCAGATCAAACCAGCCCAGTTTTGCTGCTTCATGACTAAATGGCAAAACGATTTCCTTAGAAGGTACAAACAGCAAACTTTCAATTTTATATCTTCCTCTTTGCTAGCCTGGAGACGTAATAGAAGAGAACCGTAGTGGGAGGCAGCATTTTGGAGATTTATTGGTCAATAAAGGTGACAATTACAGCTTGTTTATGAAAGGAAGCTCCTCCCCGGCCCCTGCGTGGCATCGATGCTCTGGTAATAATAACTGTGTAACCAGCTCGAAACCATAAAAGTCAATGGGAAGATACAGGATTTCAATAAAATTATGACACTCGATAAACCTTCCTGTTGGAAACAAATTTTCCACGGATGTGTGACCAGTTCCAGTTGGATTTGTAACTTTAATTTCTCACTTATTGAATTTTTTGTCATCAACTAATGATGAGGTCCGTGCTGGGGTGATGGCCCAGCCAGAGGCCCGGGTGCGCAGTAGACCGCTGAACTCGGCGGGTGGGGGCCGTGGGCTCCTGAGGGAGAAGAGGGGACCCTGTGAGCCCCCAGTCTTCACCAGTCTCACCTGAGAAGGAGGGGCCTGGGCAGACTGCGGGGGCAGCAATGGTGCTTGGGGTGGAGCAGCAGTTGGGGCAGGTCTCTGCCCGGGCAGTCGGGCCTCAGTTCACGGAAGCAGCGGCCGAGAGCACGGGGCAGAGGGTCCGAGAACATGCCTCGGAGTCGCTGCTGGTGTGGCTGGCCCTGTGGCTCGCCCGGGACGCGGTGCCCTGGCAGGTGTGTAGGCTGCGAGGGGCGCCGGCTGGGGTGCAGAGCAGGGCTGCACGAGCTTCTCCAGCTGCTGCGCCGGGCATGCCTGCGGGAGGGGCTGCGCCCTGGAGTCCAAACGTGGAGGTCTGTTTGCCGGTGTGGATGAGAGGGCTGCTGTCACCACGTGAGCCTCGTGGCTCACAGGCCGGCGGCTGGCTGCTTGGTCCAGGAGGGCATCAGTCATCCCGGCCGGCCTGTGCAATGTGCTGATGACCCACCCCGCTGATCAGGGAGGAGGCTCAGGTGGACGAAAGCGCTGGCCTCGGGTTGCCCGGAGCAGAGCTGGGACCCGGACATGGTCTCGTGGGAGCCACCTTTGCTTCCTGGGCTGTGCTGGCCCAGGCTAGGCCACTGAGCTCCCCAGTGTGGCCCGCACACCAGCAACGTCGCCTGTTAGAAAGGCAGACTCTCAGGCCCCACCCCAGACCTGCTGAATCTGAAAGGAGGTTTCACAGGACCCGGGAGATGCGCAAGATGGGAGGTTTGAGAAGCCGTGCTCTCGTTAAGCCTGGCTGTCTGCAGGGGACCTGATTTTGTCTAATTGTGCAGCCTGTGTGGGCCTCCTCGGCCGCAGCCGGGAGACATGGGGGCAGGAGGAGGGCAGGTGCCAGCCCTCAGCTCGTGCTGCAGCCTGCTAGGAGCGAGGTCTCCTCCCTGCACCCTTGGGGGCTGCATCCAGAAGAGACTGGCCCATGGTTCCAGGCCCACAGTGGGGGGAGGGGAGCCTCCTTTCCCCGGCTGCCAGGGCGGCTCCATTCCTGGCCTTGGGGACAGCCTCGGTCTCTGAGGGCCTCCCCTGCTGTTCTCCCTTCGCCAGCATCTCAGGAAGGGGTCTTCCCGTGTGGCTCAGGAGGCGCCGCCCATCTCTGCCAGGGCTCGTGCCGTTTCCAGCCATCGTTTCCAGTAGGGTACCACTGGGTGGGGACTCCTGTGTGGCTCTAAGGGGTGGTCTCAGCGCTGTGTGGTCCGTGTGCCCCACGAAACCTGAGCTGCATCTTTACGTGGAGGAGGGGTGCCGGGCGTGGCTGGTGCACGGTGACGCCCAGGACCATGGCCTCTGGCACCCCATGGGCTCGGGGGTGTGGTGGGGAGGAGCTTGCCGAGGCCAGAGCTGGTGCCGCGGGGGTCCTGGGGCCTCTCAGCGCTCTGGGAGGACTCCTCGGCCCTGCTGGACACCTGCCGCCTCCCTGCTTAGAGGGATCTCTCCTTACCCACCGAATCTTCTGCTTAGACCCTCGCTCTGAGTGTTGCTGGGTCAAAGGCCAGGTCAGAAGTCACGGGAGCGGGGTTACTCCAACCCACTTGCTGGCGGACCCCACTGGTGTGTCCCTTGGTCTGTTTGCCGGGACTCAGGAGGTCACACTGACCCAGAGCACTGGCTCAGACCTTCTGCCCAGCTGGGGGACACTGCAGACTCGGGGAGGGAGGGGTGCCGACCCTGATGGAGGCAGCCCCCGCCCTCTGCTGGTCCCCGCAGGTCAGACGGTGCAGCTCGAGGCTGGGCCCCAGGCTCACCGGGCACTGGCCAAGCTGCGCTGCGGCTTCAGAGCAGCCAGAGCCCGTCTTGGCCTTGGTGGGCTCTGTCGGGCTAAGTGTCCAGCTCGAGCTCTTCAAGGAGCCACCCAGGGGGCCCCACCTGGCAGCCTGCCCCTCGAACTTGACCCCAAGCCCACCACGCTGCTCCTGTCTCCCTCACGCCACTCGCCCGCGCGGGCCTGACCTCTTGCCCTCTGTGCCCACAGGAGCGGGACGGCATGCGCGCCATCCTGGGGTCCTACGACAGTGAGCTGACCCCGGCCGAGTACTCGCCCCAACTGACCCGCCGCATGCGCGAGGCCGAGGACATGGTGCAGAAGGTGCACGCGCACAGCTCGGAGATGGAGGTGAGTGGGCCCAGTGTCCGTGCGCGCTCCGCGGGGGGGGGGGGGGCGCTGCGGACGCTGTTGCGTGCAGACCTCAGTCCTGCTGGGGAGGGCCGCCTCCAGCCCCCGCAAGCACAGCCTTGTCGGTGCAGGCGCTTCCATGCCGTTTTTACCGCCACACATTTGCTCCCCATGAGACACTAGTGAAGAGGGATTCTCGGGGAAGCCTCCCCCCGACGCCTCAGCGTCCCCGGCGCTTTTTACGTTACGAGGTCCTTCCTGTCTGGCACCGCGTGTGCTCCAGTTCATTACGAGGTTGGCAGTTCTGGCACCTCCAATGCCATATGTTGAGGCTTTTTGCGTGTTGGAGATGAGGGGCTGTCAGTGACCTCGGAACTCGTTGACCAGCGTGGTCACCGTGCCTTACCCTGCCCGAGGCTGTGGCTTGGGGACAGCCCCGCCCCTGGCGTCTGGCGGACGGGCACCGGGTTCCTTTGGCTCCCTGTCTCCCCTTGAGTCCTGCCTGCAGGGAGCTGACTTGTCCCGGTTTGCCTGGGGCTGTCCTGGTTTTGGTAGCGAAAGTGCCTGACCCCTTCTCCCCTTCCTGTGGTCAGCAGTGCAGCGGGGCGGTCACTCAGCCTTTCCTTCCAGCTCCCAGACTTACGGGAGAATTCGGGGGGGTGGACATCACCGGCTCTGCCAGCGTCACTGCCACGGCTGTTCCTCTCCATCGTCATCATCGCCACAGGGGCTCACGTGGCCAGTCCAGGCGCTGGGCGGGAGGCACCAGACAGAGGAGGGGCAGAGGAATGGCCTCCCAGCCCTGGCAGCCGCCCCGCCCTGTCCACGCTGGGACTCCCGTCCCTGCCCTGTACTCTCCGGACACGGGTGCCGATGGCCTCCTGCCCTCCACCCAGGCCGCACCGACCCCAGATCTGTGTTAGGACGGAAGACCTGAGATCCCCATCTTTGAGTCTGGGGGTTACCCTGGGACCAGCCTCAGTGTTCTGGACTCAGGCTCTGCTCGCCATCCCAGCGAGGCCATCCATTGGGGGGGCGGTTCTTGCTCTCCACATGTCCTGCACATGTCCTCCCTGTAGGTGAGGGAGCCCCCCAAGTCCCTCCCCCTTGAATTCCCCCCAAGAGCCCCGCCTGGGCCTGAGCTGCTGTCGTGGAAAGGGTCAAGCACAGAGGGGCTGCAGCAGGGCATTCCTGGGCCAGGCCAACCGGGCACTGTCCCCTGGCCTTTTTGGAGTGTCTGCAGGCAGCTGAAGAAAGGCTGACTGACTCCAAGTGTTGGAAACACCCATCACCTTTGGAAAGTGGAGATCGTGGTTGGATTCATTGTGCCCTGTGGGTCAGGCCTGGGTCTGCTCCTGCTGAGGGCTGTACGCCTCCCAGTCTCCACCAGGTGGCAGCAGACAAAGCCAGCCAGTCCTGCTCCCTGGTTCAGGCCCCCAGCAGGGTGGGATGCGGACTGTACTGAGGGGCCCCGGACAGGACAGGGGCTCCTCCTCAGCCTTGGTTCTTTTTCCTGCACATCACCGAGACCCCTTCTTGTCTCCTTCCAGCCCTCTGGGAACCTGTACTGGGACAAGGATGTCCTTCCCCCTCCCTCCTGCTTCCCTCCTCCCCAGCTGTCCGCTGACCTGATCTGTACCAGGCCCCGCCAAGCATAGGCCCCCAGGAGCCCCCCGCCCAATTAGGAGCCACTGGGAACTGGAGCTGTGTGGCTCTGGGTTGGCCCCGAGCTGCGGGAGCTTGGCTGGGAGAAGCTGCCTCCGTGGGGGGCTGGGGGAGCCAGCTGCCCGGTGCAGTATGAGGATGAGGGGTCCTGGCTGGGCTGGGCTGGCGGGATCCGCAGAGAGCCTCCTGCAGGAAGGACCCTGCGCCCGAGTTCATGTTCAAGCTGGCGCTGCTGGAGCAGAGGGGCCTTTGCCGTCAGGCCTGGCTCTAGGGTTAGGACTGAGCGTGGAGTAAGAGGGAGCGTGTGGGACTCCGGCCTTCCGGGGAGCTCTGCCCTCGTTCTCTTGCCGGTGGTGCACACTGTCCTCTTAGAGCTCGGACCGCTCACGGCCACCTCGCTGTGCACCCGAGGGGAGAGGGCCGGGGCCGGGGCTCCAGGACCCGAGGGGTTTCTCCCAGCACTCGGCAGCGGCACAGAAGTGACAGGTGCGGGGAGACACGCACACGGCAGAAGGCTTTTCTCTAGTGTCCGGAGGGTGGGAGGGAGTGTGGTGTAGAAGGGGAGAAATTGGGGAAATGGGAAACATTGGGCAAATTGGGGATTATTCGCCTCGTTCCTGAGCGTTGCAGCCAGCGGCCCCGTCACCCCATCAGCGAGCTCCCTGGATTCGCCCAGCCGGGCCGTCAGGGGGCCGCCCCACGGTAGTGTCTCAGCTGTTCTCACATGGGCCCGGAGGGGGGCTCCCCGAGCACCTTGGAGGATGTGCTGCCCTGACGGGGGTGCCCACCTCCCATCAGCGCCTGCCTCCAGCCCCCGCTGGCCCTGGGCCCCCCGGGGGGGGGGGGGGCGGGGGGTTCCTGTGGGGGGCCCTCTGGCGGCTCCCCTGGACTGGGTCTCATCCCAGGAGGAGGTCCTGGGTTAGGGAGAATGTGACCCCAACATGAGGAACTAAGCCCATTAGCGAAGAACAGGAAGGGGTTCAGGAAGGGGGCTGGCGGGGGTGGGGCGAGGTCCTGGGTTCAGGAAAGAGCTGGGAGGAGCCCAGGGCGAAGTGGGTGTGAAGGCGGTGCCCTCTGTGCCCAGAACCGCGAGGCTGGTGATGGGCCGTGTGGAGGGAGCCCTGCGAGTGCTCTGCCCCCCGCCCCCCGTCCTCACTCCACAAGGCCCCGTAGGCGTGCTCAGCCCTCCAGCCGAGGGTGGGTGGCAGAGGCCTGGCCTGTGGGGACTGCCCTGGCCATTGTGATGACTGTGGTCGTGCCCTCCATGGACCAGGGGGAGGCTGAGCTCCCGGAGGCCTTTCCGGAAGCACTGGGCTCAGACAGGACATGGGAGACCCAGCAAGGTGGCAGCCGTGGTCTGTGGGTCAGGTGTGCTCCGTGTGTGGTTTGTCGGTCCTTCTCCTAGGAGATCCAGGAGATCCCAGGAGAGGGGTTGTCAGAGCCTCCTTTAAGGCAAGTCACAAAACCCGGATGCTGGCCTGACCTGCCTTCAGTCCCAGCAGTTTCCTGGTAGAGCCGAGGGCTTCTGTGCAGCTCCGGGTGGAGGGCTGGGTAAGGGGGGAGGAGCGGGCGGATGCTTTCTCTCCATGCACGTGAGGCTCTGGGGCAGCCTGGGGGTCCCCGGCCCAGACCCGCTTCCCATCTCCAGCCTGGCCCCTTTGCAGGGGGGCACCCAGGCTCTCTGAACCCTGTCTCACCCCTCTGAGGCCCTGAGCAGCCAGGGAGAGGCCTGTGGCTCAGGAGGCTGGAGCCTGGACGCCGGGGTTTGGGCAGGACAGGCCCCTGTGCCGTCCCTTGTGGGTCTGCTCCTACGGCCTCAAGAGAGGGGACAGGCTCAGAGGCGCCTGGCTTTGACCTCACCCTCCAGGTCAGAGTGGCCCCATGCCGGAGCCGAGCCGTGCAGGGCGGGGCTGGTGTCCTTTGGGCAGTTTTCTTCTTCTTGTTTTATTAAACAGTAACATTTCACGTCTCAGAGTCTCAGAGAACGACCCGCACTTGGAGCCTCTGGAAGCTGCTTCAAGCTGCCTGGCAGAAGTTTATTAGTTGAGCATCACGTATTGACAGATGGTAGGAAGTTATGTAACTTTACAGAACCCGTTTGTTAAGGGTTCCTCAGAGCCTCCAGGCGACTCATCCGTCCTCAGGCTGTGATGCACCGTTTGGGGGCACACGGCAGCGCAGACGAGAGCAGAGCACTGCTCGCAGCCCCACGGTCCCCGTTTTGTTCCGCTGTCTTGGGGGACCGCCGGGAGCAGCCAGGTGCGTGCAGGGAAGACGTCCCCACAGCCCCCGGGCCAGACGGTGTAGACAGATTAGTGTCCCTCACCTGCCTGAGAGAGCGCTGGCCTGGGCGTCAGGGTCGGGGCGCCCTGGGCTCTGGGTGCCTGGTGGAGGTGAGGGCCCCTCTCCCCGCCCCTCCCCCGCCCCACCCAGCCCTTCTTTCTCCCTCCAGCCTTCTTCCCTTTCCTTCCGTATTTCTTTCTGTTCTCTCTTTGTGTCTGTCTGTTTCTGTCTTTGCCCTGCTCTGTCCTCTCACCTCCACTGCCCGCTTCTCCTCCTTGGCCTCTCTCCACCTCCTCGCTCACCCCCAAGCTCCTGTTGCTTTTCACGCAGAGGTCAGCAGGCGTTGTCTGTAAAGGGCCAGACAGTGAGTGCTGTGGGCTGTGTGGCCACGTGGTCTTGCTCACAGCCCCTCGGCTCTGCGGCTGTACAGCTCAGGAGCAGCCGTGGGCCGTCAGTAGATGGTGGGTGTGGCTCTGTGCCAGTGAAACTTTACAGATAAAACCGGTGGTGGGCTGGATTTGTGGGCAGGCTGTAGTTGCCAGCCCCCTCTTCCAGCTCCTCTTGTCTGGGACCCCGAGACCCTGCTGCTTGACGTGAGAGCTGCCGCGCCTGCCCCATGGGACCTGGCCAGCCCCTGGTGTGCCCACGGCAGGCACCCTCTCACAGGTACAGGGGGCGTGCTGCTCCGTCGGCCCTACCTTTCACTTGCTGGGGAAGGAGTGGGACCCACAGATGTGGGCACAGGGAATTTGAAAAACGCATCCACTTCTTAGAGAGGCATTACATTTCACCCATTTAGCTTAATCAGTCAGTTCTAATGGGAAACATGCTTTGATTCTAGCAAAAACATCTCAGTACCACCAAGCAGAAGTGTTGAGATTGGGAGGATCCCAGCAGCCCGACTCTGGTGCCGTTTTGCACGGGTTTTACTTATTCCATCTAATAAAGCGGCTGCAGAAGTCGGTAGCATGTGTCATGAATCCTCCTCTGTCGACAGGGCTATAAATATGCGGCTCATGCCACCTTGATTCAAGATATCAGCCTGATGTGTTTTTCTAATTTATTTAATTAAAACAGATTATGGTGCTGCTGGCTGCTGCATGGAGGTCTGTGGAAAGTCCCAGTTTCAGAGTGCAGCAGTGATTTCCAACTCCCAGCCTAGGAGGAGGTGGGCGCGACACTGCTCCCTCTCCCTCGCTCCGCCCGGACTTCTGTGAGGGCGCACGTCACAGCATTTCTGTCGCCGTCCCCTGGCCGTGGGGGGCTTGGCTTCAGGAAGAACAGCAGCTTTTGAACCCTACGTTGTTCACCAGATCCAGATTTTTTTCTTCCTTGTGAAAGTGTTTAGTGCTCCCCTTATATAAGGATCTTGAGGTGACTCTCCTGTAAAAAAGCACAGATGAAACAAACTGGAAAATCTTGAGACAGAGTTACAAGGTGAGCAACGTGCTAAATACATGGAAAACAGAAGGCAGGCAAACAGGGAGAAAATAATAGCAGAGACCCGGGCTCTGGGGATCCTCTGCGGTTGGACACGGATCTGACGTGCAGAGGCCACAGGCAATGGGCGAGGGCCACGTTCTATTTTTAGTTTTTCGAGGCCCCTCCATACTCTTTCCCGTAGTGGCTGCACCAGCTTACATTCGCACCATCAGTGCACAACACATTCTTCAACACTTGCTGTCTGTTGTCGTTTTGATAATACCCATCCTAACAGGTGTGAGGTGATATCTCTGTGGTTGTGATTTGTATTTCCCTGATGGTTAGTGATGTTGAGCATCTTTTCATTTACCTGTTGGCTGTTTTGATTCTTCGGAAAAACTTCTGTTCAGATCCTGTCACCATTTCTTAATTGGCTTTTGGGTTTTTGTAACCATTCAGTTGTATGAGTTCCTTATATATGTTGGATATTAACTCCTTGATGCACGGTTTGCAAATATTTTCTCCCATTCCATAGGTCACTTTTCATTTTGTTGTTTCCCTTGCTGTGCAGAAGCTTTTTAGTTTGTTTTTTTCTATTTCTGTCAAAAATGCCAGTGGAATTTTGATAGAGATTACATGGAATCTGTAGCGTGCTTTGGGTAGTGCGGGCAGTTGAACAGTATTAATTCTTCCAGTCCACGAACACGGGATGTCTTTCCATTTATCTATGTCATTTCCGTGTCTGCTTTCAGTGTCTTTTGAGTATATGGATCTTTTACCTCCTCGGTTAAATTTATTCCTAAGTATTTTATTGTTCTTTGACGCTGTCGTAAATGGGACTGTTTAGTTTCTTTTTCGGATGGTTCATTATTAGCGTATAGAAATGCAACTTATTTTTGTATGTTGATTTTATACACTGCAACTTTACTGAATTTGTTCATTAATTCTGACAGGGTTCCTGTGGAGTTTTTAGGATTTTCTATAAATAAGATCATAACATCTGCAGAGCAACAATTTTACTTCTTCCTTTCCTCTTTGGATGCCTTCTGTTTCTTTTTCTTGTCTGATTGCTCTGGCTAGGACTTCCACTACTATGTTGAATATGAGTGGTGAGAGTGGGCATCCTTGCCTTGTTCCTGATTTTAGAAGAAAAGCTTTCAGCTTCTCACGGTTGAATATGACATTAGCTACGGGCTTTATTATGTTGAAGTACATTCCTTTGGTACCTAATTAATTTTTGTCATGAGAGGATATGAGTTTTGTCAGATGCTCTCTCTGCATCTCTTGAGATAATCGCGTTATCCTTCGTTGTGTTAATGTGTATCCCGTTGATTGATTTGTGCATGTTGAGCCATCCTTGCATTCCATGGATAAATCCCACGTGACCACGGTGTATGATCCTTTTAATGTGCTGTTGAATTCAGTTTGCTAGTATTTTGCTGAGGATTTTTGCGTCTGTGTTCATCAGGGATATTGGCCAGTGGGTGTTTTGGTTTTTGTCTTTTTTTTTTTTTTTTCTCCTGTCTGACTTTGGTATCAGGGTAATGCTAGGCTTGTAAAATTAGTTTGGAAGTGTTCCCTTCTCTTCGATTTTTCTTGGAAGAGTTTGAAAAGGATTGGTATTAATACTTTTTTAAATGTTTGGTAAAGTCACCAGTGAAGCCATGTGGTCCTGGGCCTTTCTTTGTAGGGAGGTTTTTGGTTTTCTTTTTTAACTGATTGATTTTTCTTACTCTTTACTGGTCTGTCCATATTTTCTGTTTTTTTAACGATTCGTTCTTGATTATTTGTATATTTCTAGGAGTTTATTTCTTTTAGGTTGTCCAGTTTCTTGGTGTATAATGTTGATCACAGTAGTTCTTGAGTCTTTGTGTTTTTATGGTATCCTTGGTGATTTCATTTATGACTTTATTTATTTGAGCCTTATCTTTTTTCTTAATTAGTTTAGCTAAAGGTTTGTCAATTTTGCTTATCTTTAAAAAAAAACAACAACAAAACAGCTCCTAGTTTTGTTGATCTGTTCGGGTCTGAGGGTGGTTGTGTCTCAGTCCACGTTCTGTGAGGGGCTAACAGCTGAAAACTGCTCCTTCACCTTGTGGCGCTCCCAGCCCAGACCTCTGCTCCAGGTCACACGGCTGGAACGCAGAGACGTTGGGATTCATCTCTCTTGTCTGGCTTCACCCCTGCAGTGGCCTGAGTGGCCAGGAGGGCTCGTGAAGACAGATCTGCTGGGTCCTCCCCAGCTCTGGGGCGTGGGGGGCTGAAACGTTGCACTTCCCACAAGTCCCCAGGGGTGTTGCAGCTGTGGTCCTAGGCCCATCACCTGCAGGGTAACCACACTAGCTGTTGAAGCCAGGACGGGGTCCAGGTCCGCTGTGGAAGTACCACCGTGGCCCTGTGAGCACCAGTGGGGCCTGGCGGGCTCTGGGTCTGGGAGAGGTATCGGCTGCTTCAGCTGCAGAGGTGGGTTCTGAGGGGTGAAGGCCTCCGTCCTGCAGGCTGCCCAGGAGCCAGGACTTCCCGGCAGAGCCTCGGCTCCAGGCCGAGCCCGGCACGTGCGCTGCCTGCCTGCTTACGTGCCGACGTGCTCTGCGGCCATGGGAAGCGTGGCTCACTCCTGCCTTCAGGCTGACGTCCATGTGGGGAGGCGCCCTCTCTGCCCCTCGGGGCTGCTGCCAGGTGGAAGCGGTGTGTCTATGGGCCGTTGCCTGGACGGGCCCCTGTCAACCGGCCGGCTTCCTCGCCTCTTTTATCTTTCCACTTGGTCACAAGCCTGTGTGTGAAGTGGAGCCGAGAGGCAGGGGGCCTGAGACTCTGGTCTCGTTCTGTCCGTGAGACCTGCAGCCTTGGGCTTTGCGGCCTCCTGTCCTGCCTGCACCCGGCTGCAGGGACGGCTTCTCCCCTGCGCCTGGGCTCCTGCGCTCCTGCGCTGGCGGGTGCTGGGCAGCAGTTCTCACTCAGAGATCAAAGTGGCCACGCGAGGTCTCAGTGCCCCCTTTGCTGTCACACGTGGTGCGTGGGCCGGGGGCTCGCGCCTGGGGTCTGGCAGGAGTGTGATGCCCCCGGACGGCCTGACGCAGCCCTGCGGTCACGGGTCCCCTCCCGCCTGCTCCGGGGTGTGCTGCCCCCGGGACGGCCGGTTCCCTTCCTCCTGTCCGCCCCCCCAGCCCCGCCATGTGCCTGCCCCCCCAGCTCCACTGCACCCAGCCTGGCCAGGGCGGGACGTAACCGTGAGGGATCGTGCCTCCCCGAGGCTATTCCAGGAGGCCGTCCCTTCAGGAAGCGCCCGGCCTCGGTCACGCGAGCAGCCGTGAGGAGCGGCTGACGGTCAGCCTCTGACGCGGCCCACGGCCCCGCCAGCCCCCTGCTCCCTGGGGTCCTCGCTGCAGGCGGAGCCCCCCGTTGAAGGCTCGCCCCGCGGGGTCCCCGTCGTCACCGCCGCCTCAGGATCCTGAGTGCAGAGTGAGCACCAGGTGGGCGGCCGCCACGTCCTCGCTCTCCTCTCCCAGGGGAGGCGACGGCCCAGGGCGGCGAGGGCTCAAGCAGGGTCCCCGGGGGTACGCGACGCCCACACCCCGTGCCGGGCGTCCGAGGGGCGCGTGTGGACCGCAGCTGCTCCGGTCCTCCGACACTGGGTGCTGTCGGCCTTTAATTTCCCGCGTGACTGGGCCGTGGAGCAGCTTCGCGGGCACGTCTTCCCCGGCGAGGCCTCCGCTCACACGGTCTCTCTCCTGTGCTCCGTCCTGCCGTGGCCCCAGGGGGCGGGGCTGGGGGCGGGGCTGGGGGCCGGCGCGGTGGGGGCCACGCCTCCCGTTTCCTTCCTTCCGATCCGAGCCCTGTGCTGCCTGCGTGTCGTGGATGCCGGGAACCCACTGTTTCCGGGGTTTCGTCTGGTTTTCTGGCTGGTTCGGGAGGGAGGGTAAATCCAGCGCCCGCTGCTTCATCTTGTCCCCCTTGCGGCTCGACGACTGTGTCCCACCCCCGCCGTCCTGGTCCCCTCTTGAGGAGTGCTGTGGTTGGTCAGTGCCTCCTGCCTGCTGGACTGTGGCCCGGTCCCCGGCCTCTTACCAGGGGCGCTAAGACTGCAGCCCGAATCTCTCTCCCCTTCAGGCGCCAGGCTTGGGGCGGACTTGGCGAGTTATCACGTTCCTGCGGCCCCTCTTTCCAAACAGTGGGAATTCGGGGTCTCCCCCGGCAGCAGTGGATGTGGCAGAGGTGGGGGAGGGGTGGTCGCTTCGGCCCCAGGAGGAGAAAGCCCACTGACCTACTTTCTGTCTTGTCTTGAAGGCTCAGCTGTCACAGGCCCTGGAGGAGCTGGGAGGCCAGAAACAAAGAGCCGACATGGTGAGTCCCTGAGGCACACGCCTGGTTGGTGGCCCTGGTGGCCAAAGGGAAGCCCGGCCTGGGTACCTTAGAGCGTCGGCACCTGCCCTGCAGGCACAGGCGTGTGGCCCCCTGGCCGTGGCCAGGCCACACACCCACCCCCTCCACCCCTGGCACAGACTGCGGGGCTCCCCCCGGCCGGCTCTCAGGTGGGGACGGTGGTGCATCTCCTGCTCAGGTCACAGCCACACGACACGCTGACCCCACGGGCCCCGGAGCGTGTGCACGCTGAGCACAGGGCTCTCCAGCCTCGCGTGGCTACTGTGTGGCACGTTTGTTTCTCTGCTGTCGCTGTGGGCTGCCTGCTGATGTCAGATCACGTCCGCCCCGCCCTCCGTGCAGCCGGGGAGCCCTTACCTGGGCGCGTGCAGACACGGCCCCGGAGCCCTGGCTGGCGCCCCCGTGCCTGGAGGGTCCTTACCACCCACTGGGGGACAGAGGGACTCGGCCTTCTGGCATCCTCATCCTGTAGAAACCGTGAGCCGCTCTGGCCCTGGTCTGGGCGCTGAGGGGATGAAGCCCCAGGCACAGGAGGGCCACAGGTGTGGGGAGGGGAGGGGCATCTGCTCACGTCATCGGGTTGCTCTGCCCGGGCCACACGCCAGCCGGGTTGAGGGCACCCGGGAAGCTGCCGTGAGCACTGGGACTGGCGGCTGGAGTCGGGCTCCTGTCTCGGTGTCGGCGCCGCCCAGCCCCGCCTCTCGTAGGCATGCACAGTGGGGATGACCGCCGGGTGGAAGAGACACATCCTTGAATTTGCTCTGTCCACCGCTGCTGCGACCCTCAGTGTCGGGGGCTGGGTGAGGAATCGGGGGTGGGGTGGGATGGGAGGATCGGGGAGCGCGGGTTCGGGGGAAGCGTGGCGGTCTGAGAGGCAGTTGTACATTGGGCTGTGGGGGCTTTTGGGCGTCCGGAGTCCCCAAGTCAAGGCCAGGAAGCACCTGGGTGTTCCCGGTGGGTAGGTACCCAGCGAGCCAAGCCCTGCCTGGCTGCTCCAGTCCCAGGCATCTGTCCTGGGGGGCAGTTCCACTCAGAGTCAGAGAAGGACATGTCTAGCGAGGGACCCTAGGTCCCGTGTGTAAGGGCAGCCGTGAGAGGAGCCCAGAGCTTCCCGGTGATGGGATTTCATCAGTGAGCCTCTGAGAGCTGTTTCCTGGGGCAGCAGGGGCACGTCTGGGCCTGCGAAGTCCTAGGGGTGGGAAGGCAGCCTGACTGCGTGCTGGCTGAGGGAGGGGGCGCCTGGAGCAGCGAGCGCAGCTGCCTGGCCTCCAGACCCGGGGCGGGAGGGGGTGAGGGGGCTTGGGGGGAGGGTGCTTCCTTCTCGTCCACCGACTTTGCCGCCCTGGGTGGGGTGGGGTGGGGTGGGGTGGGGTGGGGTGGGGTGTCGTGTCCTTGAAGCCTGATGCTTCCTCTTGATGAGGTCCTGAGGACTCAGTGATCTGTGTCTCCTCTGTCGCCCCCTCGGTGCTGGCCTGAGTTGGCGTGTGCCCTCGGGCCGTGTTTCCGTGATGTGCACGAGGCAGGAGGAGGTGCGTGGGCATCTGATGCCCGAGGCCTCAAGGCTGAGAAGTGAGGATGCCTTGGAGCTGATGCCTCGGCCCTTCCCCCGCCCTGGGGCTTGTGGATAGGAGCCGGTGCCTCCCGGGCAAGAGGGAGGACAGACCCTGCTGCACTTGGCCACTGGCTCTGGCCCTCAGGCCAGGGTGGGCGCTGAGCTGGGGAGGCCTGGGCACCCCGAGGGACGCGGGGCTGCAGGGCTGTGTGCCTTCCAGCCTGTGCTCTTTTTTAGTTTCAACCCGTATAGTTTCCGTCCCTTGTGTGAATCACCCAGGGCCTTTGAAATCCTGACACCTGGTCCCTCCTTTAGACCGATTAAGTTAGAACTGGTCGGGGGGGCCCGGGCAGGGGTGTCATTTCATGTCTTCCTGGGCAAGTCTGATGTCAGCCAGGGTGGAGAGCCTCCGGCAGGCCTGGTGTCCCCAGGCTCGGTGCAGGCCATTGGGGGACCTTGGGGACCGTGCTCCATGGGGAGCTTCGGATGAAACGTGCCTTGTCCCAGTGGTACTGACCCTGCAGAGGCGGGCAGCAGTGCGGGGCCTGGCCTTGCCTGAGCTGACGGCCATGTGCGGAGATGAGGTGCCGGCGGCCTTCGTATGCACAGGCCAGGAGCTATGGGCCCCTTAGGCTGGTTCTTTCTTGCTTGCTTTTGGGTCTGGGCTGTAGCTGTCTCCTCAGACAGGTTTTTCATCTCTGCCTTTTTTTTTTTTTTTAAACATCTTTATTGGAGTATCAATGCTTTACAGTGGTGTGTTAGTTTCTGCTTTATAACAAAGTGAATCAGCTATACATATGCATATATACCCACATCTCCTCCCTCCCACACTCCTTATCCCACCCCTCTAAGGGGTCACAAAGCACCCAGCTGATCTCTCTGTGCCATGCAGCTGCTTCCCACTAGCTATCTATTTTACATTTGGTAGTGTATGTATGTCCATGCCACTCTCCCACTTCGTCCCAGCTTCCCCTTCCCTCTCCCCGTGTCCTCAAGTTCATTCTCTGGGTCTGATCTCTGCCTTTGATGGTCTAATCTTTAGCTTATTTCGTGTTATTTCACTTCCCTCTTCTTTTTCTGAGTTAAAGGGAAAATGAGAAACGGCGGTGCCCGGGGCCCAGGAGTGCAGGTGAGCCACACTCGGTCCAGGAGCTTGTGTGAGCCCCTGCTCTCCCTCCCGAACTGGTTCCAGGGGGGTCCTGCAGCCCCCGAGGAGATAAAGGCTAGGCAGGCTCGTGCAGGGGCTGGCAGCTAGAAGCCTGACAGGTCCGTAGTCAAGCCCTCAGGGAGTGAGATTACCCAGAAAATGCATGCATTTGGTTAGGGGGAGGTTTCTGCTCTCGTGTAAACCCCTGAGGGGATGGAGAAGTAAGAAGTTGAAGAGGGGGACAGTGGCCCAGAGTGCACTGTGGGCCCCGGGGGGGGGGCGGGCACAGTCACCCCCCCACCCGTTCCAGTGACAGCCTTGGTGCCACTGGGGGCGTCTCGGGTGCTGGGAGGGCGGGGCTCCTCTGGGCCTGGACGGTGAGAAGTCTGCTTACGGGGGCTGCTGACTGTAACCCCAGGCCCTCTGTCCAGGACAGCTGCGAACGGGGCCCCGGCTCCTGTAGCATCTCTCCCACCTGCAGCTGCTGACCTGCTGTTTGCTGGCCCAGAGTCAGTTCACTAGGTAGGAAAGGCGAGAGAAAAAAAGAAAAATTTAAGCATCTTTGGCTAATTGCAGATGACAAGACAAAGGCAGTCTGACTTTTTGTTGATAATTAGCAAACATAATTAGTAAGTGTGAGCACAATTCATGTTTTTTTCTTTAAATGCAATTGATATCACAAGGAAAGACGTCCCTGGCTGTAGTTGTATCGTTGACACGCCTCACCCTAATTAGATCAGGCCGGCCATGGCTGCAGAAAGGAGTTGTTTTTTTTTTTTTTTTGCAGTACGCGGGCCTCTCACTGTTGTGGCCTCTCCCGTTGCAGAGCACAGGCTCCGGACGCGCAGGCTCAGCGGCCATGGCTCACGGGCCCAGCCGCTCCGCGGCATGTGGGATCTTCCCGGACCAGGGCACGAACCCGTGTCCCCTGCATCGGCAGGCGGACTCTCAGCCACTGTGCCACCAGGGAAGCCCAAAAGGATTTTTTTGATTCTTTTTTTTTTTTAACTAAACATGATCTTTTTTCTTTTTTTTTTAATTAATTTATTTATGGCTGCGTTGGGTCTTCGTTGCTGTGCGTGGGCTTTCTCTAGCTGTGGCGAGCGGGGGCTACTCTTGGTTGCCGTGCACGGGCTTCTCATTGCAGTGGCTTCTCTTGTTGCGGAGCACGGGCTCTAGGCACACGAACTTCCGTAGTTGTGGCTCACGGGCTTCAGTAGTCGAGGCTCACAGGCTCTAGGCACATGGGCTCAATAGTTGTGACTCACAGGCTCAGTAGTCATGGCTCACGGGCTCTAGGCACAAAGGCTTCAGTAGTTGTGGCTCGCAGGCTCTAGAGCGCAGGCTCAGTAACTGTGACTCACAGGCTCAGTAGTCATGACTCATGGGCTCTAGGCACAAGGGCTTCAGTAGTTGTGGCTCGCGGGCTCTAGAGCACAGGCTCAGTAACTGTGGCTCACGGGTTCAGTATTGCGGCTCACGGGCTCAGTAGTCATGACTCACGGGCTCTAGGCACATGGGCTTCAGTAGTTGTGGCTCGCGGGCTCTAGAACGCAGGCTCAGTAGTTGTGGCGCACGGGCTTAGTTGCTCTGCAGCATGTCGGATCTTCCCAGACCAGGGTTCAAACCCATGTCCCCTGCACTGGCAGGTGGACTCCTAACCACTGTGCCACCAGGGAAGCCCTTGACCCTAACTCTATAAAGAGTGCTGCAGTACTTTATAACTTCAGGGAGCGAGGACTGGATGTTCGTCTTCTGACTCTGGGGACTTGCCCCTCACAGACCCGTGCCACTGTCCGCCTCCCAGGGCCCCTTCCGGAAGCACTTCCCGGACAGGGAGCAGAGCACGCGCGGCCCGGCTGACTAGCTCCCGCCCCCCACTGCTCTCCTGCTTCGGTGCAGCTCGAAGCGGGCAGTGTGGTCGTGGCTACGCATGTTGAGGCTGCTGCGGGCCTCCTGATAGCAAGCGCTTTACAGCAAGGTTCTGCCACCTGAGGACAGCCCCGCAAGGCGGGTCCAGGAACGCGCAGGCCTCCCGGGCTCTCCTTCCGCAAAAGCACCAGCAGCGCTTGCTCTGGCTCCGAGGGGCTGGAGCATGGATCGCAAGGATGGTGGCGAGACCACCTGTGGCCCTGCCAGGGGCTGTGCCCACCGCAGTGGGCCTTGCTGACACTGCATCATCATCGACGCCAGCGTCGAGGGCCGGTGAATCACCAGGAGGGGGTGCGAGCCTCCATTGTTCAACGCTGGCAGCCATCGCCC